GTATGTAAATCAGGCTTGGCTGATCACATTCAAACTTAACGCACATATACATGTATATCTTGAGATACATATGCATATCCATTCGTTTTCACAATATAATTTAAGATGGCCATTTTAATGTTACAAGTTGAATAAAAATTGAGCATTTCTTCCGAAACCAGATCTTGGTTGTTTATGGATGAATTTTGTTCAAAGTTGGTACATGCATAGGACATTATAGAACCTTGATGCTCGTCATTTTGCGTTATCATACCGGACTCTAAATGGCCAACTGGTGGCCATTTTGTCGTATTATAGTTTGTTCCAGAGCAGTATTAATCATGTTAAGACTTTATATATACATTATACATGTACATCTTGTCGCACACATGCATGTGTATTTGTTCAACCATCAGATTCAAGATGGTGGCCATTTTAACATTATAAATTCGTCAAAATCAACATTTTTGCCATTCCGGAACCAGATCTTAGTTGTGTATTGAACCATGATGCACGTCATTTTGTTATTCAGATCGAATTAAAAATAGTGGCTATTTTGTTATTCGGATCAGATTGGATTTAAAATGGCCAACTGGTGGCCATTTTGTTTTGTTGAATGCTGTTGCATGCTTTTAAGAATCATGTTCTAAAATATATGCACATTAATTTGACAATCCGTTTCAAAATGGCCGAATGATGGCCATTTTAATGTTGGTTATGCAAGGGCAGCTATTGTCTATCATGATACATACATTAAATATGTATATATAATGAAACCATAATTTTTTTCCAGATCAGATTCAAAATGGCCAAATGCAAATGCTAGTCTGGACTCATGTCTCTGACTGATTGCAATCAAACTTTACAACTTTATTTTACATCATGTTATATGCTTCATATTTTATTGAAGCAATGAAAATGAGACAGCTAAGATATTGACTGTGTGTCTTTAGCTAGCATGTTATTTTAGCTAATTTAAATAACCTGTAATTTCGCTAATTCAAGATGTCACTAATTTAAAATAAAGTATATTCTCACAATGAGATTGTTGGCACTTTAGCTGAATTAAGATTCAGTTAATTCATACATGGAGTCAAATTTGCTAAAATGGCATGTAGCTATTTAAACATGTTTTACAGTATACCATCATTTTATGCTGCTAAATCATTAAATGTACTGGTAGTTGCCATGTGATATTTACTACAAAGCATTTAGTAGTAAGGGTAATTGTCCTAATGATCTACTGTGAATACTATGACTTTACATTTATTGTGAATATGAAAAATGTAAAAGTTACAGCTAATGATCTGATTAATTCTAATAAAAGATTTTGTCTGAAGTAATTGCTTCAATCTGTATTTTATCTGTAAACCCCTTGAAGTTATTGTAGTTCATACAATTGAATTCAATAATTGAATGGTATCTTCTGTATCATTGATTACTTTAAATAATACATCTAAATTAACTACTCAGTAACAATTACTTTTTATCAAATGTTTACTACCATTATACGAGTTGCATGGTTTTTATTTATCTGCTATAACTGCATGATATTATTTTTTGAATTGCTGATATTTGTAGAATAATATTACTGAATAATATACATGTGTGTAACAAGGATGTGTACCAAGATAGGTACAGTGGCATTGTATGTATTCCATGAAATGTGTTAAAAATAAGTGTGTTTCCAAGCAATGTGCTTTATACCATACCATACAGATGCAAACAATCTGATAATATTGTGAGACATTCAAAACATATTTTAATGATAGTTACTTCCTCAGCTGATGCCACCTTTCAAATGTTTATAGCATGTGCATGAAAAAATAATCTATTCAACTATAAACATGTATGGACTAATTTATTGTGTGGAAATAACAATATTACAGTGTGTACGTTTTCCTTTTTTATTACACGTGAACCAGGCAATATAAATAGATCTTTTTATAGTAAACTCATCAATAAATAGTAATTATCATCGATAAAATGTGAAATTTTATCACAGCAATCAATAGCATTGAGTATATAATTACATATATTATTCATTTTGAAGATTTGAGAAATGCAATTGAACACAACCTAAATTGAAGACATTGAACTCGCTGTTTATAATCCACATAGCCTAAATTGAAGACATTGAACTCGCTGTTTATAATCCACATAGCCTAAATTGAAGACATTAAACTGTACTGTGTGTGTGCTTAAAATGGCCTAAAAATACATAGGGGAATACTGATAATCAGATGTGTTCCACGTTTGATACCAAAGCCAATGTTTTTTTGTTTTATTTTTGAAACAGTGGGGGATTTTTCTATGAAAGCTTATAATTTATCAGTAATTATCTGTAAAAATTGTTTTTCAAGTAATGCAATGATGTATAATAATTTTATTTCATTTAAAAATACTTTGTAGAATAATAATCAGATTGTTTAAAGTAATTATTAATAAATTTGTCATATTTTACTTTCACTAATGTTCTGTGTACCTGATGTATGAGCTAATTTTAAAAATGTATAAATTTTCATCAAACAGGAAATATTAATTATCAGTCATGAACATCAAATTACAGTAAATACAGTTGTTCCTTTTGGCCGACCAGTACATGCATTATCAGATGAAAACAAGGCAGTGATTGAAGTCAATGCACAAACAAAAATGTGTGTGGCTCAGTCATCCCTGTCTGTGCCCTGTTATTTCTGCCCTCTAATTCTGATAGTGGTCATTATTCCAAAAATATATACATTATATGATTTTGATCTTAACACCATGCTAATGACTATAATTTGTCTGTATTTTAGGAGAATCGAGCCTATTCTTTTTGTGGTACAATAGAGTACATGGCACCAGAAGTAGTCAGAGGTGGAAGTGATGGTCATGATAAAGCTGTTGACTGGTGGTCACTCGGTGTACTAACATATGAATTACTGACAGGAGCATCTCCCTTTACAGTAGAAGGAGAAAGAAACTCACAAACTGAAATATCAAAGTAAGTTTTATATTTGTTAATGAGAAGTTATATACACAGTGTATTAAATTATTATGTATTAGTGTATTAAGTGCTTGACATTCCGTTGGCTAAAAATAACCTGCTAGTTACTCACCTGATGAGTAGAGTTCAAAAATTAAAAAGGCCCAGAGAGCGAGGTTACTATCCGTTAACTGGCTATTAAATTGCGTGAATTTTGCGCCTGTTTTTCTGGATAATATACATGTAGGGTTTGTTAACGATTATGTCAACTGCCATAAACAACACAGTTACTAAATATTCCGAGCTTCATGTTTCAGAATACACTACATCATAATACAGTCTTGTATGTCATCAAACTATTCTCCAAATGAGGTATTTATGTTGTTGTCACGTTTTCTTTTCTCTTTTTAGCGTCTTAATTTTCTCGTACGCTAACAAATCTGTCAACAATTTTTCCATTCCTAAATCCATGATGACAAGAGTAGAATACAATTTCGGATGTCAGAAGGTTGTCCAATCAGACTTCGTGAATTGACAGTCTCTAAAGCTGGTCTCAGACACGGTCTCATTTCCGATCTGCGTGGCATCTGCGAGTCTCTAAAGCTGGTCTCAAACACGGTCTCATTTGCTGTCTATGTGGCATCCGAGAGTCTCTAAATCGGTCTCAAACACTGTCTCAAATGGCATGTTCCTCTGTGGGAGAGTCTCAAAACTGGTCTCAAATGCCTTCTAGAGGGCTCTTAACATTAATCTGATTTAAGATTCTCAAAATTTGTGAATGTCAGTTAAATAGAGACAGGGAGTTGAATTTACCAACAATCTGACAATGCTGTTTTTGAAAGAGATCTGACAAATTGATTGCTGTTTTCACCAGACAATGCTCTGTTTTGTTTTCAGGAGAATTTTAAAGAATAATCCACCAATGCTGTCAATGTTCTCTCCTGAAGTCAAAGATTTTATTTTGAAACTTCTCCAGAAAGATCCAAGGAAGCGTTTGGGATCTGGAACTAGTGGTGCTGCAGAAATCAAGAGACACCCATTTTTCAAGGTACAAACTTTTTTTTTTTACTTTTCCATAATCTTATGCTGTGTAGAATATGCAGGCTTGGACTCAAATCATCTTATGTCAGTGTGCTCAATCAGTTGGTATCTTGGTACAATTCTAATATTGTATTGCTGCGTATCTTATAGTTTCCGTTCAGGCACAGTCTACTACTGATCCACAATCTAATGATACAATATTTGACAACCATTGCTACTAAAAACATCACACGAGTCTGAAATTGGCAGTTCATCAAGTCACTCACAGTGATGGAAATAAAATATTACGTCCAAGTCAAATCTAGGTCAATGGGTTCTGTTGCATCCTTATAACAGGAAATATACTTGGTCATAGTAGACAACACTTGAATAATCTGAAAAAAATTCATACTGATTTTTCGAAGCTGTTTTTTCTTCATTTTACAAAAAATAATCTGCCAAACAGTTGTAGATGTTTTACTATTTCGAAATTGACCCAGATAGACTGTGTAAAATGATATTTGAATAATATCTATAGAATCAACATCATAGGCTATAAATGCATTTGCACTCTCATTCTTTTGACTGTAAAACATAAGTAATGCCATTTTGTCACAGAAAACACATTCCATAATATTTGTTTTAAAATGTAAAAAAAGTCCAAATTTGAAGAAATCTTAGAAAAAATCATGCATGTCTAAATGTTAGGGGAAAATATTTCACACAGTGGAAAAAACAAAACATTTCATTTTGAGTTTGAGAATGAATTTAGTTACGATATATCAAGTATTCTTTTTAAATACAGGGATTATGACATTCATGTCTTGTTTTAGTAGGATTCAATAAATTAGTACTTCTTACAATGCGTTATGACTGTCAATTATCTACTATAATCAGATATTTTATTTCTGTGTCAAAAATCAAATAACATGCATAAAATAGCAGTTTAGTAGTGATTCCCATAGACCACAATGAAAGAAATTACGTACAAATTATGTCAGTGTTGCATTTTTGAACCCAGTCAAACCTTCCCAAGTGCTCACTGCATTCTGTGATGCCATTGGTTTAAAAATGTATTTGATTGACAAACAAGTGGAATAGGATCTTTATCATACTTAGATATAAAAATTGCATGCCTTTATCTTATAAAAACCGTGTCTTCATTTAATACATGTAACAAAATAAAAAATAAAGCATGATTTTTTTCCTTGCCATAATGATGCATTTCATTTTAGAAGGACAGTTAATTACCTCTAGCAGTAATTGTAGTTTTTCAAAATTATCAAAAAATGTTGAACTGAAAATTTGTATGGCATTATTTGTGTGATATACTGCCAACCTATGTTTAGATGACTATTTTGCTATTTGTATGTCTCTATAAGCAGAAAACAAAAGAAATCATTCTATGTAAATCATTCTAGTGATGAAAAATCAGAGATAATGCAGTATATAATTACCCAGACAAATTGTGCAATCATAATAAAGTTATATCAAATGCATGCACCAAATTGATATCCATGGTACATGTACACAGATATATTCAAGGTTGTAGGATATTGGTTTTATCTTTGTTCAAGATGGCATTAATGAAATACAATAATTTTTGCTTTATGAGATCAATTGCTGTTTACTGCAGCATAACAGTCTTCTGATCTTACACTCTTTCCTTGACCCTTTGCTTTATTTTTTAGTCCACATTCAAACAAAATCAAAACACAGACTTATAATTCGGTCTTTGTCTGTTTGTCCTTCTATGGACCAAATATGTTCATTCTTTGCATGTGCCTAGTACTTTATCTGGGATATATGTACATGCAGTGGATTATTGATTCAATCCAAGATGGCTAATTGGCAGTCATTTTGTTTTTTGAAAATGTGGTATCTTATGCATGCCTTGGCAGTTTTTGTTCACATTTGTTCAGCTGTGTTTTTATACATGCCAATTGTAAAGCTTAGCCCAGTTTTTACTGAAAACTGTTTTGGGACGCATGTGATTTGATTAATTCTGCACAATACACCACTGACACCTGTTGGCTATCTATTCAAAGTACTATCAGTAGCATTTGTGGCAATGCATTGGTTTTGTTCAGTTTTCCATAAAGTTATCATAAAAATGTTAAAGCAAATATATTACGTCAGATATCAGCATCTGTTTGACTAAATAATTAACATATTCATTAATGTATAGTAAAAATTACAAATACCAACGATTTTCATTTCATTGGACCATCTTATTAAAGCTTTCAGCAACTGAGCCTGCTTTGCTACATTTATTTTCAATCCTAACAATCCTAAATTTTGTTTGATTTGAATGCCTGTCGTAAAATATAAGGATAGTATTGAAAAGTGACTGTTGGTGTAAGGGAAGATAGCTAGTTGACAGGAGGTGACTGTTGTAGATGTATGGAAATGTAGCTAGTGGACAGGAGGTGACTGTTGTAGGTGTAAGGGAAGGTAGCTAGTGGATAGAAGGTGACTGCTGTAGGTGTATTGAAAGGTAGCTAGTAGACAGGAGGTGACTGTTGTGGGTGTATTGAAAGGTAGCTAGTGGACAGGAGATGACTGTTGTAGGTGTATGGGAAGGTAGCTAGTGGACAGAAGGTGACTTGTAGGTGTAAGGGAAGATAGCTAGTGGATAGAAGGTGACTGTTGTAGGTGTATTGAAAGGTAGCTAGTGGACAGGAGGTGACTGTTGTAGGTGTAAGGGAAGGTAGCTAGTGGATAGAAGTGACTGTTGTAGGTGTATGGAAAGGTAGCTAGTGGACAGGAGGTGACTATTGTGGGTGTATGGGAAAGGTGGCTAGTGGACAGAAGTGATGTTGTAGTGCATGGGAAGGTAGCTAGTGGACAGGAGGTGACTGTTGTTGGTGTAAGGGAAGGTATCTAGTGGACAAGAAGTGTCTGTTGTAGGTGTATGGGAAGGTAGCTATTGGACAAGAGGTGACTGTTGCAGGTGTATGGGAAGGTAGCAAGTGGGTCGGAGGTGACTGTTATAGGTATATGAGAAGGTGGCTAGTGGACAGGAGGTGACTGTTTTAGGTGTATGGGAAGGTAGCTAGTGGACAGGAGGTGACTATTGTAGGTGTATGGGAAGGTGGCTAGTGGACAGGAGGTGACTGTTGTAGGTGCATGGGAAAGTAGCTAGTGGACAGGCAGGTATGTACGACCTAGAAATAGTGCCGTATGCGAGTACCAAGTTGCGAGTCGCAAGTAGCACAATATGCCTTATGCTAGTGGTAAAAACGGCATATGCGAGTGGTAAAATGTATCGTTTGCTAGTAGCAAAAAAGCCCTATGCGAGGGGTAATACAAAGGCTTGTAACGTTTGCTTATAATATAACAACGTACGTTCAATTGTGTTTTATCACAGTAAAATAAAATATTTAGCATGGTTATGAAATGATGTGTACATGGTTGGTTAAGATTGGCATGATGCTGTATCAAAAAAGTCCGTTCAGTCTTTTGCATAGAATCGATGTTTGCTCTTCACGAAATTGCACAGGAAACGTGAAAGCACAATAATTTAAT